GTTGCACTAAGATAGATCTGCATATTTTAATTGCACATTAACCTGAAACTTCTTTATTGTGTTGGTCTAAGCAGTCAACAGCGAACAAAGAAGAGCCTCTAGCAGGAAGAAGCTTCCTAATTGGCTATACCTTAGCTTGTTTCTTTCCTTTCCCTTTCATGGTTTTCAAGATTTATCAATACATTACCCTTCTTATGGATGATGCATGGTGGAGGCCAATGAAAAATTTCTTTTCTTTTTGACATGAAAATGTGCTTAAGTTTAAATTACCTAAACATGGATTGAACTTGTGATATATCTAGTTTGTTAGTATTTGTCCCTGCAAGATGACATAATTAAGAGCAGGCAAAGTTCACAGACATTCTACTTGCCTGCAAAATTTACTGTTTTCCTCTCTTTTTATTTCACTGTTATGTGGGGAAAGACGTATAGTATTAATAACCTTCCCATTTTTTGCAAACCGTGTGGTCTCAAATTTTGTACCATGCTGCTCTACTGCTTTGATTGAGAAATAACACAAAGATAGACTTGGTGGTAACGTGAGGTAGTTGTGTTGTTTTTGTTTTTGAATTATTGCAGATAAAGCTGGCATCAGTAAAATTAGCCATGAAGTACATGAAGAGGGTATCCGCAGAGTTAGAAATGGTTGGTGGTGGTCCCGAAGAAGAAGAGCTTATAATTCAAGGCGTTAGGTTCGCCTTTCGAGTACATCAGGTATAAATAATGAGTTTTTTACACGAAAAAAGAAACAAACATTTTAATGAAATTTTTTTTATTTCACATGCTGTCTTGTAGTACTAATTAGTATTAATTTTGTGCTGTGTGTTTTTTGTTTTTGTCAAGTTTGCCGGAGGTTTTGATGTGGAGACAATGAGAGCATTCCAAGAGTTGAGAGACAAAGCAAGATCTTGCCATATACAATGTCAAAATCAGCAACAGCAGCAACACAAATATGTTTGCAGATTTACACCTTGCTAATTAACAATCTGTAGCAAACTCAGCTTCAGAATGCTGTTATTTTTGTTGTAAAGAGTGACATTCATACATACCAATGGCAGTAGCCATTTTTCTGCATAAACATTTATTAATTTATTCATAAATCGTGCCAAAATGGACTCTTCATCTGTTCATAACTTGTCCTTACAGACATGTATGTGACTTGTACGTTCACACGAACCAGTAGCTTTTTGCTTAGACATTCTATTTGTCTAAAAAATTATTTATTAAATATGTATAAATATTTAATTACGAACTCAATAACTAACGAGCTATGGATTCGATTACAAATTTAGAACTCATAAACTTTAAATCCTTAAAATTCCTAAGTACCATAACTTGAAGTCAAAGCTTCTATGAATTAACACCATCTCTAAAGCAGTTGCCAAAAAGTCTTGAGGAGATTATACAAATATGTAAACTGATATGAGCCTTGGATTCGTTTAGGTGCGTTAAGCGGAGTTGGTTATATGCTATTTCCTCGAGTTTCAAATATAACTTCCACCATTTCAAATTCAATTTTTGAAGTTTTAAACATATGTTTACTTTTCTTTTTCTATATCTTTTTCATTTTTCCTCACTTTCCTTGACATTAAATAAAAGCTGGAAGATATGTTTTCTTTGTGCTTTTTTTCTTGAAAGGGGAGAAAGGAGGAGAACAAGCAAAAGAAAGTTTAACAATTTTCTTTTTTAGGATTGTTTTGCACGTAAAGTATAAAAAGAAAATGAAAATTGTCGAAATATCTAAAATTTGCGCCAATATTCTGTCCAAAACCGTGGATAACCTCTTATTTTCCTTCTTATTATCTCTTCCAGCTGAGATATTTTTTAATTTTATCCCTCTTTATTTGGAAAAAGTTTCTCAACTTGTTTTTATTTTGCGATCAATTCTCAACAACATAATATGGAGAAAAATCTGCCCAATATTTGAAATCGCAATATCCAAAAAAATTGTAACTTTTATTTATTTTATCATTTTCAAACTTAAAAAAAAAAATAAAAAAATTGAAGAAAATTTTGAGAAGTGTATTTTTTTTTTAATTTAAAAAAAGTGATTGCCACCTTGGAGAAGCTTAGCCAGGTTATTAGAAGAGGTGGTTTATCAACAGGAAGAAGTGATTGCAACTATAAGCCGACTCTCATCAATTATCCACACTTTTCCGCACTCGCCACAATTCATAATCAACCCTTTTCTCCTTTACCTCGAATTCGTCGCCAAATTACATCTCTCATGACTGTATTGGGTAAAAGACTTTAGGCTATGTGGCCACCGAAAAAGGGACACGTGAAATTAAAACCGAGCACAACTACTTCGTGTGTCACCGAATAAGTCAAGTTCGTAAGGGCATTAAGCATGCTGCACCCGATGACATTTAATAAATAATATTTTACAACATTAAAGAGTAACAGCTCATTAAAGAAATCTGAGCATTTATGTTTACCGTAAGGTTTCTATTATCACACCCCAATAATTGTCATTAGTGGTGGGCCAGACCACTACGCCCACTGAGCTATAAATAATAGGCTCAATTATCATTGTAAGACACGATTTTCTAGGCATCAAAGAACATATTCTAATACAGCATCTCGATACTATTTCTCTCTCTAACTTGTTGTTATTATTATCATCGTGCCTGGAAACCTGTTTCAGAGTTCTCCAAATCTATCGTTTTATTTATATTTGAGCTAAGTATCTTGTAGGAAAATTGATTAATTCATTATCTTTTGAGATCAAATCAAGTCATCTGTCTAGAAACCACGAACAAATTTCACTGTATCATTTTTTGGATAAACAATGACACCTCTTTTTGTTTGGATTGGGGGTTGACTATGATCAACATAGGTATGTTTTTCTCTCTCATTCTCTTCCTTAATTTTTCTGAAGTGCTAGAGGACACAATAAATGTTACTATCTCGGAATGAACTTACTGACAGGAGGAAGAATTAGGTATTGTACTTACTATCCAGATAAATGTTGCAAATGTAGAATGTAGTAGCATGGTCATAAGATGTTTCTGATTGTTGTAATGTTATTTGGTTGATTGGTGATCAGGTTACTAGACTATTGCTTGTGAATTTTTTATCAAGATTGACTTTTAAACCTGCTTGGGACTTAAAAGTAGTGAAAGTATCTGCTGCTATAAACGAGGTTTGCAGTTTGAGGTGTGATATCATGACATTTTAGGGAAATGAAATAGGTAAAATAACTTGTTCAATCTAATCTGAAATCCTTTTGCTATAATCTCCTTTCCTCTTCAATACCTTTAATTTGTAGTACTTGGAGTTGTTGAAGATAACTTGTTACAACAGCTAACATGATGTCTGCTGGTGCATGTTATTAGGAGTTGTACTTTCCACTTGTAACAGCTGGAGGCTTTTTTTGCATAGAGGCCAGAAATGGTTCTTGAGTTCTTTTCATCCTTTAAGTCTATTTCATTTTCTCACTAAACTTTGTGGCAGCATAATCACGAAAGGTCCCTTCTCGAGAAAAACTGATTCAGTAATGCTGATAATGAAGTACCCAAATCAGCTGTTTCTAGTGATAATGTTAGCACAATTCATCTAACAATATCCTCCATTAAAGTGGCTTGATGTCATTCGGATTAGAAAATGTTCTAATTTTGGCTTAATTTGTGTTTGAATTTGGTTTTGCAAGAAGGGATTTTTTGTGTTAAAGGAATTGAAAAATTACAGCTGCTAATACTTTTTGAATTCTGCTGTTGTATGTGATGATAAAGTTGATAATACTTTGATTAGTAAACCTTGTGAATTCAAGCCGTGTACTTGTGACGATTTATATCAATGGAAGTCGGTCAAGGACCTAAAAACTATCATTTTGTAAGGAGAAGTTGGGAGTGGCCCTAGTGTGAGGGAAATTTATACACCTTGGGATAACCATGGGAGAAAAAAAGCCTCATAGGACTAAAGCAGAGTTTATGCTTTCAGCTGTCAGTCACAGAATTTTCTTTGTTGAATTATGCTATAGGTATTTGACTATAAAATACATTATACAATGTTTTTCTTCTGCAATTGGTTCTTAGTATGTTATGTTGTGACTTGTGCGTACATTATTATGTTTAGATATTTAAACTTACATTTTGTGCATACGTTGCTCTTATACTTATATTTAAGAAATTAAGAGTTAAAAAATTCCCAAGGCTTGCTACTCATAGAGGAGCCAACCCTGGTGATTTCCTGTGCCCTCACCTTCAGTCTGTTGTTTCTAATTGTGTCCTAGCTGATATATCTGTTTGCTTTGCTTGCAATAATCTTTCTATATGATACATTTGGGCGTCAGCTTAATAATTTCTGCTCACGACTGTGTTTGCTTTAAGGCATTTCTTCTTGTCAGTCTATATGGAGTTTGCAAGTCCTATGGCCCAAATTCAGAATATCGTCAGCCTGAGACAAAGTTAATGAATTCCATGCTAAATGAAGGGATCAGTGTCTCAGGTACTCCTATATGTTATGAATTTCATCAAAGGACAAATCTATGGTTACTTGTTTCTTCTTTATATACACAATCTATAACAAAGTTTCTGTCCTCTCAACTTATGAGGATATGATAAGCATGAACAATGTCAAAATTTGGTGGGGGCTTGGATCATATTTTAAACCATGAACAATGCAAAAAACTTTAGTAATTGAGTTACAATTTTGGAGGAAATTTCTTGAACATCCCTTGGGGCACTATCATTCTTGTTTATCATACGTTTGCATCAAATTGAGTGTTGAAGCAATATGAGTTCAAAAATGTGCATGCACATTTACTGCCCCCTCTCCCCGAAAACGAGAAAAGGAGGAACGTAAACAGACTGTCAAGAGTTCAAATCTAATTTTTGTCCAAATCCTTGTAGTAAAGTTGATTGATCTTTTCCATGGTGATCACTTTCCTTTAAAGTTCTTTGAATGACCAACATTTTCGTCCTTGTGAATCTTAAAACTTACCCATGAAGTTCCATATTGGATATTAAGCTTTTACATTAACTAGGACTCGTGAAGTCTTAAATCCATAAATAAGCAGAGGAAATCTGCTTTTATTCATAATTGCTTAATAAAATGAAAATAAACTTCAAGCTAGTAGCTGAAAATTATCAGCACTCCTATGCACCCCTACTCCCCAATCACAGTGCTTATTACATCTGAAAGCTATTGTATGTCCTTGAATCAATATTTTCACAGTCGAGCCTAGGCCCCTATAATACACAGACCAATACCTATGAAAAGAAACAAACTATGGGCAATAAAAAATAATTTGAATTCTTCATCTTCAGAGAAGAATTGCAGCACAAAGAAGCTGGCTCCAATTATTAAGAAGTCCAGGACTGCGCCAATGATTGCCATGTGCACCTGATTGCTCGCTGTTTTCAGCCGATGGTCTTCAAATACCTCCACAAATGTACAGTTAATTTTCACTTTATAAGTGGAAAGGAAGATTAAAAGGATAAATTATATGAGGTTCTTCATAGTTCATCCTCACATAATCAGAGCTGCGTAGAGAAGCTGGTTCCAAGTATCAGGTAGTCCGGGGAGACACCAATGGCTGCAATCAACACCAGGGTGATCGCCGCTGTAAACTGATGGATGAGCATCTTTCCTTAATTGGGAGAGAAACGTGATATCAAGGAGGTAAACTGCTGTTTTCATCCTATTTAATACTTTGTTAACTACAACTGCAGATGCTGGTGTCCCTGCTGGATATGTTGACCCTGCTAATGGCATTTTCTCTGAGTTACAATTCTTTGTTGATCCTCCCCATTCCGTACCCCTGATAACGATGGAACAAAGTATAAATTTTGAGCTTGTAAAGAGTGGGAAACATTTCTGATTAGTGATAGTTGCTGGTCTGTGAGAAGTATTTAAGTTATATCCATTGATAGTGTAATTTTTTTTCATTTCATTACACTTCAGCTGGTTGCAGCAGGTTGCATACTACTTTTTCTAGGTTATCAATCAATGGGCAGCCCAGTGAATGAAGCATATCGCGTTCACACAGGGTCGCACCCCTACGTAAGCAGCCTACTCTGAATCAAGCATCTAACTGATTTTATGGCTCAAATCGATGACCTATAGGTCACACGAAAACTTTATCATTCTCACAGGCTCTCCTTCTAGGTTATCAATCAATATTTATTACAAAGATTTAATGTAGTTGCCTTTCTAGTTGACATGATTGTAACAAGATTCTTGAACAAATGAAGAGGTTTAGTACTTACATATAATGAGTTGGAGAAATTCCCTGGAAGAAGACTTTGGTCTTGGAGGAGTCAACATTTCGGTCAACCCATCTTCCCCAAGTAGTTAGACCCTTGTAAAATGCCATCAAACGGTCCATATCTTTGGTTACCTTTGAACCATCTTCCACATAATCCCATCTACAAAAATATGATTCTGTCACTATAGTTTTTTTTTCAGACCTCTAACCATTTCATGTCTTAATATATTATAAAGTGTGTTTTGCACTGCTTGAGAAAAATTGAAAAAGTGGAGAAATGAAGATCGTACGGTTGAGAGTTGCCCTTGTGAGTCCACCAATGCCAAGAATTGAAAATTAGCATATCCATTCCTTTCCAAGCATCACCTTGTTGAATGGAATCCAATTTCAATACCCTTCCAATTTTCTCTCTTACTATATCCACAAGGTAAGTGGTTCGATAGAGGAATAAAGTAACCCCATAATCCTGAGGGGGAAAAGATATAAAGCAACAAAGAAAAGTGACAAAGTCTATCAGTCTTGAAAGTTATAGATAATCAAAAGCTATAGTGGAATACCCTTTATTTTCCATAATAAATATGAGTAACAAGTTGGTAACGGTTGTCAGAAGCTTTTATAGCAAAGCAATGCCTTTTAGTTTTCTTTTTTTGAGCTTTTGTTTTTTTGGGTAGATTTGGCTAAGGCCAAAGGTGAAGGTACTTATGCCCTGACAACCAAAAAAGTCGCAATAAAACATGCCTAAGCTTGGACCTACCAATGATTGTGGCAATGTTCTGGCCAGGTAACAACTACAAATTGATAATTATTTCTCTCTTGTAACTACAACTGGATAATAATGCTCCACTAGACATGAGTGGGTCTTGGTCACTTGTGTAGTGCAGTTGCTACATTCCATGAGGATATTGCTACATTCCATGAGGATATCTCAATTTTGATGATGTAACTAGGTGAACCATCAAGGCAAAACAGAGACTAGAACCACAATAGTTGACATTAACTTGTCTTTATCAGCAAAAGAGTTCAAATTATACGCATGTAATCTTGAACAACCAATCTTTTTTTTTTTCTTTTTAAGGCATTCCCAATATTTTCTTGGAGTAGTAGTTGGGGAAACGATGATATGAAGCACTGTATTTTAAAATTGAAAACATAGTAGTACTACTTTCCATTCATATTATCTACTTTTTCAAGTTTTCCCACATTTAATAGCCTTAATCAAGGTGAAAAAGTCATTAAAGTATGTGCGTAAATGTCTCTCTTAGTTCTCTAACTAATTTAGAAATTGGAATAGTAAAAATAATTTTTTTATAAAGATTGATCAATCACTTTTTGTGTTTCTAAAAATTGTTAAATATCTTGAAGCGAATTCAAATTAGCGAATCGACTAATCTTTGTAAGCGAATGAAGTAAAAGAACCAAGGCAGTTTGTGTTATTCTTTTTCCATTGGTAGAAAACGAAAGGAAGACATTTGGTTTGGTGGAAAACAGGAAAGGAAGTGGCATATGGAAAAGGGTTAAGCACGCATCTCACAAGTTCACGGGTTTTTACCGATAATCAAGACAAGACAAAACCCAATAAAATTCCTGCTGTCTCCTTTCGAAGTAAATTCTTGGAAAGCTAAAAAGTCAGCGTTCTCTTTTTTCTTTGTTGGACTAAGAACAACTTTGGTCTTTGCCCTACCACTATTTTCTATTTTCTTTTCATTTATTTTTTTGTGTAGGAGTATTAATGATTGCTCATTGCTGTCACAAGAAACAAAAGATAATCTTTTCTATTCCCTAATTTTATATCTTAGTTGGATCTTGGTTGTACCTCCTTCAAGATTTGCCAAACAGAAGATATAAAATTGGCAAAGGAAATGAACTTTCTCCTTAGCAACGTAACTCCATCTGTCTATCTTACACTAGTTGCAGTCTCAAAGTATTGTAAAGGAAAATAGGAGTGACACCAAGGTAGAGCACGTGAGAACATACAATTATATATATAT